TTGGGTTGTGTTGGGTTGGATTTTATTAATAGAAATCAAATATTTTTTATTGCAGCATTGTAGAGAATTTTGAAATATAATATTAATGAGAAAAGATTATTATTATTATTATTATTATTATTATTATTATTATTATTATTATTATTATTATTATTATAACCAAACGTTAATTTAATTTAAGGAGGGAAGACTTTCCTATTTTTATAATCAGAACATTCTCAGCGACATTTTCGTGTGCTTTCTCAGATTTCCACTTACTACTCGAGAATGCCTTGTTCGATCGGCTTCAAATTTTCGACGCTTATGTATTGTATCTGGGGAAGATTCCCGGGAGTATTTGCATACGTGGAGTCACCTATGCACAATGTTACACAGGTCATTAGCAAATGTTGTTTCCGTGTGGTAGGTGGAGATGAGGTGGAATCCTACTTAGAAGAAGGATGATATATTTAATGGAATCTGCTGAGGTCATTTTGTCACTTTTAACCTCAAAATGGTATCGCATTATTTTACCTTATTGTATTATTTTTTTCCCTGATGCGGTGAGGAGCTCTTGATTCAAGGAACTGGATTTATCTCCCCCCATGCTTGCATCGAATTTGATTGCCTCCCATCCCACAGGTGCTATATGACTCTTACAGGTTTAGCGTTTTCATCTGATTAAAATATAACCATTGTGAACGGCATCAATCATCAGTGGTTGATGCATCGTATGAAATGGGTTATGGCAGGTCCGGATTAAGGCATGGGTCTTACGGGCTGCAGCCCAGGGGCCTCCAGCAGCTGGGGGGCCTCCGGGAGCTGCAGCCCAGGGGCCTCGCAATACCTGTAGCCCAGGGGCCTCACAGTGCCTGTAGCCCAAGGGCCTCACAGTACCTGTAGCCCAAAGGCCTCACAGTACCTGTAGCCCAGGGGCCTCACAGTACCTGTAGCACATGGGTCTCACAATACCTGTAGCCCTGGGGCCTCACAGTATCTGTAGCCCAGAGTCGTCACAGTACCTGTAGCCCAGGGGCCTCACAGTACCTGTAGCCCAGGGGCCTCGCACTACCTGTAGTCCAGGGACCTCACGGTACCTGCAGTCCAGGGGCTTCACTGTACCTGTAGCCCAGGGGCCTCACAGAACCTGTAGCACAGGGGTCTCACAGTACCTGTAGCCCTGGGGCCTAACAGTACCTGCAATCCTGGGGCTTCACAGTACCTGTAGCCCAGGTTCCTCACAGATCCTGTTGTCCATGGGCCTCACAGTACTTGTGGCCCAGAGGCCTCACAGTACCTGTAGCCCAGGAGCTTCACAGTACCTGAAACCCAGGGGCCTCACAGTACCTGTAGCCCATGGGTCTCACAGTACCTGTAGCCCAGGGGCCTCACAGTACCTGTAGCCCAGGGGCCTCGCACTACCTGTAGCCCAGGGACCTCACACTACCTGTAGCCCAGGGGCCTCACAGAACTGTAGCTCTGGGGCCTCACAGTACTTGTAGCCCAGGGGCTTCACAGTACCTGTAGCCCAGGTGCCTCACAAATCCTGTAGTCCATGGGCCTCACAGTACCTGTAGCCCAGAGGCCTCACAGTACCTGTAGCCCAGGAGCTTCACAGTACCTGAAGCCCAGGGGCCTCATAGTACCTGAAGCCCAGGGGCCTCACAGTACATGTAACCCAGGGACTTCACAGTACCTGTAGTCCTGGGGCCTTACAGTACCCGCAGTCCAGGGACCTCACAGAACCTGTAGCACAGGGGCCTCACAGTACTTGTAGCCCAGGAGCTTCACAGTACCTGAAGCCCAGTGGCCTCATAGTACCTGAAGCCCAAGGGCCTCACAGTACATGTAACCCAGGGACTTCACAGTACCTGTAGTCCTGGGGCCTTACAGTACCCGCAGCCCAGGGGCCTATAGAACCTTTATCTGGCTCTTGGTTAAGGCTGTGTAGGCACAAATTTTGTTTAATTCTGTGAAATAACTGAAAAATGCATCTTCTGGTCGACTTCAAACTTTTAGTGCTGATGTGTTTCCCTCAAAAGAAATAATAATTTTTATATCAGGTTGTGTTAGTTATGTACCAATTTTATTAATCAAATTTATTTCCGCGAACAAAAAATGAGAAAATCTTTCTTCTCGTCAGAAATAAGTCACAATATTTGACGTTATTTTGTTATCCTGAGTTAAATCAGCATAACATACTTGTGTGTGCTTATAATAACGTTAGTTTCCATATGATGACTTGTGAATGCCTCTTTTAATTCTCTTCAGATCTTCAGTGCTGATATTTAACCGCATCATCAGCTTATGCCGCACTCTGCACTATTCCAGTCGCGTGCATTGTTGTACAAGGGATTGAGGCTATGCATTGCGGGGATATCTTCCTTGGATCATGCACTGACCGAAATGTAACCAGTTATTATTATTATTACTATTATTATTATTGTTATTATTATTATTATTATTATTATTATTATTATTATTATTATTATTATTACGAATATTATTGTTTTTATCATTAATATTACCATTATAATTATTATTATTATTATTATTATTATTATTATTATTATTATTATTATTATTATTATTATTATTTGTATTATTTGTATTATTATTATTTATATTGACACTAGCAACACAGACCACCGTCAGCATCACTATTTATTTTGATCCAGTTGCCTTCCATTTCATCCTTCATTTTTTTTTTTTTTTTTTTTTTTTTTGGAGGGAAGCTTGTCTATCCATCATGTCCGGCGTTTAAACATGAAGAATAAACGTTACTTTCTGTCTGTTTTTGAACTATGTTCACGTTTATTTATATATATTTTTTTTTCCATGCCATTTGGCGTGGCCCGAGTTTAATTCATTTTGTCACATGTGGAGAGCTTGACAAACATTGAATAGCCAACTGGATATGCATAATTTAATATCTGAAAACACAAAGTTAAGATTTTCATGTATATGACTTTTTTTTAGCTCTCGTTTTTATGTATATTAATATCTGTTGTGTTTTTTCTCTATTTGTATCTCGTATTTTTTTCATTTCTTATTTGTATCTCGTATTTTTTTCATTTCTTATTTGTATCTCGTATTTTTTTCATTTCTTATTTGTATCTCGTATTTTTTTCATTTCTTATTTGTATCTCGTATTTTTTTCATTTCTTATTTACATCTCGTATTTTTTTTCATTTCTTATTTGTATCTCGTATTTTTTTTCATTTCTTATTTGTATCTCGTATTTTTTTCATTTCTTATTTGTATCTCGTATTTTTTTTTCATTTCTTATTTGTATCTCGTATTTTTTTTCATTTCTTATTTGTTCGTATTTTTTTTTTTTCATTTCTTATTTGTATCTCGTATTTTTTTATTTCTTATTTGTATCTCGTATTTTTTATTTTATTTATCTTATTTTTTCTTCTTTGTTTTTTTTTTCTTTCTTATTTGTAACTCGGGATTTTTTTTCCTCTTATTTGTATCTCCGTATTTTTTTTTTAAATTTTTTTTTGTAATTTTTTTTTTCTTATTTTTCTCGTATTTTTTTATTTTTTCTATTTGTAATCTCGGTTTTTTTTTATTGATCTCTTTTTTTATTTGATCTCGTAATTTTTTTCATATCTTTATTTTCGATCTCGTATTTTTATATCTTATTTGCATCTCGTATTTTTTTAATATCTTATTTGCATCCCGTATTTTTTCCCGGTGCTTTATTATTATTGAGACTATTAAAATTACTTTATTTCTCCTTAACTTATATAATTACTACTGAAATATATTTCTATTAATTTCTTTAAAATATTGCATTTGTACTTTTTTGACATTATTTAAGTAATTTTTTTCCAAATTAACTAATCGATTCTACTATTTTATTTCTGTATTCGTGTTTCCACTTCAATGAGAGTACTAAAAACTGGATGAAATGAGAGAGAGAGAGAGAGAGAGAGAGGAGAGAGAGAGAGAGAGAGAGAGAGAGAGAGAGAGAGAGAGAGAGAGAGAGAGAGAGAGAGAGAGAGAGAGATGAGAGAGAGAATTATTTCATGAAAAAATCGCTAATCCCTCTGGGAATCATACAGTGCTGAAATTTTGGCGAGTAAATCCTGCCTTTTTGCTTCTTCATTCGCTCCTGCGATGACGAAGAAACAAGAAGAAAGATTCTTACGTATTCATTATTATTATTATTATTATTATTATTATTATTATTATTATTATTATTATTATTATTATTAAGAGTAGTAGTACTAACATTAGTAGTAGTAGTAATAGTAATATTAGTAGTAATAGTGCTAGTACAAATTTTGAGAAGTGTTAAACCCGTAAGGTTCATTTAGCCCGTAAGCAGGAATGGAAAGGATTCAGGTTCAATATAAGAAAAGGAAGGAGAGCTCCGATTCCTTGGATCGAGAATCACGTTTTATACAACGCCCATTTCTTAACACTTCTTGTAAACTGAAAATTGCTACGTTATTTCAAGTTAGGTTAGGTTAAGTTAGGTTAGGTTAAGTTAGGTTAGGTTAGGTTAAGTTAGGTTAGGTTAGGTTAGGTTAGGTTAGCCATATCAACCTATATATATGCATTTTACTCTATGACGCAAAGAAAATAATGGGGTTTAAGACCTGTCGACTATTCCAGCATCAATAAGGTGACATGTCACCTGTACATAACTAGTCAAGGATACTTCATAAGCTAAAATACAGATTAAACACATTCGGCGAATACACCCAGAGACATACTTCATATGAGCGTATTTAACTACATAAGAACTGCTAATTAGTCTATGAATTAGTTTTCCCGAAGTGTTTTACATATTTGACTTTCTTTTGTGCCTATCAATGTTTTCTTACATTTAAACCGCATTATTTGTAAAGCATAATGAGAAAAAATTTTGTTTGTATATATCCATGGGACTGACTTGCCAACCTCTCAGGGTAGATGGTTGTTCTGGGTGCGCTCTGGTGGTGACTCCAGCCACTACCCAGACTGCTCTATGGGCATGTGGGGGAAGTTAGTGTGAGAATATATGTAGACGCTGTGGTTAAGGAAGGTAAACACTGCTGGTGTGGAACTGATCACAGTCATGGTGACGGAGAGAGACTACAAAACGCGTCTGACAGAGCTCAGACGTGACACTTATGGATTTTGCCAATTCTTCAATATCCGAAGTCATCGTGAATGATGGAAAGAGAATATTCATAATATTTACCTCGACGGAGGTGTCCGAGGCAACGTGTCAACATGGAGGTCACTACTGGGCTGGAGAACATCTCTCCAAATGATATAGGTAGGTCAAGAAAAAAAAAAAATCTTTCCTTTGAAATTGTTGGTACGTATATAAGGAGAAACTTTGAGGATTACAGTAGTATGTATTGCACGTAGAGGTCAATGGTTGGATGGTGGTTACGCAGGTTGTGATGATGGTACTTGCATATTAAAATTGACCTTACGTAATTACCATCCTAAGTACGATTAGCATACACTGGTACACAAGTGCTGGTGGCATGTGTGGCAGTGACGCACATGTAGAATATGTGCAAGTTATAGTCATATGTCATACGACTGCCTCCAACAGAGCAGGTTCAACAGCGGCAATAATAGACTAATGAAATGACAGATAAAAGTCCAGTTTGATTCGCCGGCATAGTCCCGGTCCGGGTCTTGCCAATGCGGTGGTCCGGCATAACAGTTGTGTTGATGGATAAACACGGTGAGTGAAGGCTGTCTGTTAGGAAAACGAGGCAAAGGTGCGGTATACTACATAAGAAACAGAAACTGTGGAATACTGTGGGCAACAATAGGGGTTGAGAAGCAAGATGCAGGGGCAAGTGGAGGCTGTGAGGATGCCAGAGCAGGAAAATGAAGCCAGGATATCCGTGGTAGAGGAGATGGAGGGAGGCCTAGATGAGCTTCTGAAGCAAATGGTTTCCCAACTCTGGTATGAGAGTGCAGTGTGGAAGATACCACTGGTAGTGGTGTAGGGCTGTCTCTGATATCACTTAGTCACGGGTGGGAAATATGATCGTCATAGTGTAAAGGACAGGCAAATTCGATAGTGGCGACAGTGTATATGGATCATTTAGCAATTGTGATAAATGTAGCACTAGTATTGAAGAACAGGAACAAGGGAAACATTTCTTAATTGGTGAAGAGAAATGTTACTGAGGACACACTGACGGTATCGTACATTAGTGAAATAAATTAGCGAAAGTAGTTGTTCGGTGGCTGTATGTGCGAGAGAGTAGGAGATAGGATATGGAGAAAGATGGTTTCCTTAATTAGCTGGAGGACAGATTGGGTCAGTGTTATCGACTAGCTAGGAGAACGGAGGCAAAACCCTGACATGAACGAAATTGATAAACTGAAAGGGTGAGATGCATGTGTATAAAAGACACTTTTTTTCGGCTCAAGGCATATTAAAGGAAACTTTTCGCCAGGATTGGCTTCCTAATACAGATAACAGACGAGTAATTAAGGAGTGTGTATGGTGGCGGGAGTCGGTGACATACAGCGAGAGGGTAGTGGTAGGGTTATAGAAGGACATTTCCTAAAAACAGAAAGTAAGCAAACTCATGTATCCTGAATGGTGGGTGATTGTGAATGTTTGTGTGAGGTCTGGAAATGTTGGGAGGTGGATGGCACTGGTGATGTGCAGTATCACGGGAAATATTATTGACGGGGCACAGTGGTGGTCTGTGAGTTTCTTATATCTCGGCTTTTGAAGTAATATAAGGATCTCATGTTTGAGGATCACAAAGTGATGATTGCGTTGTATATCTGTAAGTGTATATATGCCCTGTTTTGGGATTGAAGTGTTCCCGATTGATGGTGAACAGGTTGCATGCAAACTTAATGATCCTCATGTAGTCGATAGGATTTAGACCTAATCAACCATCAAACGACGCAATGACTGCCTAGCAGCTGGAAACTCTCAAATCTGTACGGCTATCACTAGCGGTGGGAGAATGGGTTGGGTAGACAGATACAGAAAACGAGGTATGGGTCCTGACTCCTAAATTTGGATACTTCCTTGCAATATTTAGCAAGTAATACTATTATCCCCCATGAATGTGACACACAATAGTCGACTAACATGGGGAAGGGGTCGCTATTTACTGCTAGATGAGCAGCAGTAGGGGGTAGAGGCAGACCTGCCCATAAATCTCACCTGTCTTCACCATTTTCGGTGTTTATTTTCCTTTATGATTAATTGAACTAGTGGTTCTCGTGCCACAACAATGGTCACACACATATGAAGGGTAAACACCGGGGTATAGCCAGCTCTAAAGAGAAGGGAAAGCAATGACGGGTTATTTGTGCATTATTCCAGCTACTGTATTGACTTTTTTATGCTTTATAGTATATACACCTAGGTGGAGCCAGCTGGTTCCACACATACAAAAGATATACACCTGTAGTATAGCCAGCTGGTGTCACACATAGGAACATTACTTCTGGTGTGCACAACGTGATGGCCGTTTGCAAATGTTAGGCAGTGACGTGTTGCCTGACAGTAAACATTGCACTTTACGCTCCCCTATATATATATATATATATATATATATATATATATATATATTAATAATATATATATATATATAAATGCATTATGCATGTTAATCAATTCGCAAACAGACGAAATTATTTACAAACACTGTCTCTACGTCCACAGCAGGACTCGAACCTGCAAACTCTATATAAAAGTCCAGAGTACTTTACCACCTGGCTCAGTGGTAAAGTGCTGTGGACTCTGATAAAGAATTTATAGGTTCGAGTCCTGCCGTGGACGTAGAGACAATGTTTGTAAACAATTTCGCCTGCTCCCTTAAAGTTTGCTATACAAATAGTAGGAGTTTAAGAAATAAGATAGATGAGCTAAGATTACTTGCAAGTGTAGGTAATATAGATATTAATGCTATAACAGACCTGGTTCAACCTGAAAGATAGAGAAATGCCTTCTGAATGCAACATACAGGGTTATAAACTATTCCACACTGATAGGATCAACAGGAAGGGTAGTGGAGTGGCAACGTATGACAGTGATAATTTAAATTGTTGTCTTAGAAACGATATAAGATTAGAAACATCGAACACAGAATCTGCTTGGCTACAGTTTCTCGAGGGTCATCACGAATTAATTTTAGGTATTATTTATAGGCCCTCAAACCTTGACAGGGAGTGCAGTAAGCTGTTATGGGACGAAATTCATAAGGCATCTAGATATGAAAATATTGTAATAATGGGAGATTTTAACTTTAGTCAAATTGATTGGAACAATATGACAGGAAATCTCGAGTCTAGTGACTTTCTTGATACGGTTCAGGATTGCTTTTTAGAACAGTTTGTGACAGAACCAACTGAGGAAACAATCTGCTTGACTTGATTCTTGCCAACAAAGAATCACTAATTAATAACCTTGAGGTTAATGATGAGCTTGGAGAAAGTGACCATAAATCACTTAGTTTCAATATATCATGGAATTAACCAGATAACTGCAATCAAATCTCTGTCCCAGACTGTCGCTTGGCCGACTTCATGCGAGTGAAATATTACCTGGGTGGGCTAAATTGGAATGTCCTGACTATAGGTCAGGTAGGTGATCTTGGTTGCCAATATGACGTTTTTCAGAGCATAGTTCTAGCTGCCCAGACAACTTTTGTTCCGAGTATTGAAATTAGATCTAACAAGAATGATCCAAAATGGATGAACAATAGATTAAAACATCTCATTGATCAAATGAGAGGCATATATAGGCGTATCAAAAGAGAGGATGGGCAGTTAAGAAATCAATATATTCAATTAAAGAGAGAAATAAAGAAAGGAATAAGAAAAGCAAAAAGGGATTATGAAGCTAAGGTCGCAAGGGATTCAAAGACTAACCCAAAAGGGTATACAGAAGTATACAGAAGTAAGATTAGGGACAAGATTGGCCCACTTAAGAGTAACTCTGGTCAGATCACTGACAGTGTTAAGGATGTGTGTGAAAATCTCAATACATACTTCCTCTCAGTTTTTACCCAAGAAAATACTAGCGAAATTCCTGAAATAATTATATAGAACAGGACGATAATAAATTATGCACGAATGCGGTAACTAGTGATATGGTCCTCAGACAAATAGAGAAATTAAAACCTGACAAATCCCCAGGTCCTGATGAACTGTTTGCAAGGAATGTAAAGAAGAACTTGGCAATCCTTTGGCTAATCTTTTCAGCATATCACTACTAACTGGCATAGTGCCTGATAAGTGGAAAATGGCAAGTGTAATACCTATTTACAAGGCAGGCTTAATGATCTATAGCTTCGAACTATAGACCAATAAGCCTTACCTCCACAGTGGGAAAATTTATGGAATCAGTAATTGCCGAAGCAATTCGTAGCCATCTTGATAGGCATAAATTGATTAATGAATCTCAACACGGTTTTGTGAAACAGGGGCGTTCCTGTCTTACGAATTCACTAACTTTTTTCACTAAGGTGTTTGAGGAGGTAGATCATGGTAATGAATATGATACTGTGTATAGGGACTTCACTAAGGCTTTTGACAGAGTTCCACATCAGAGGCTACTGAGGAAACTTAAGGCACGCGGAATAGGAGAAGAAATTTTTTCCTGGGTAGAGACATGGTTGACAAATAAGCAGCAGAGAGTTTGCATAAATGGGGGAAAAATCAGAATGGGGGCACGTCACAAGCGGTGTTCCACAGGGGTCAGTGTTGGGCCCTTTGTTGTTCACAAATTACATAAATGACATAGATAAGGGAATAAATAGCGACATAAGCAAATTTGCTGATGACACGAAAATAGGCCGTTCAATTCGCTCTAATGAGGACCATACAGCACTTCAGAATGATTTGAAAAGACTGATGCAATGGTCGGAGAAATGGCAGATGCAGTTTAATATAGACAAATGCAAAGTCCTGAATGTTGGACAGGAAAATAACCATGCCACATATAAACTAAATGTAAATCTTAATACTACTGAATGCAAAAAGGATTTAGGAGTTCTGGTTAGCAGTAATCTTAAAATCTAAAACCAAGACAATGGTGCATTAGTGTTCGCAATAAAGCTAACAGAATCCTTGGCTTCATTTCTAGAAGTATAAATAATAGAAGTCCTCAAGTTGTTCAACTCTATATATCATTGGTAAGGCCTCATTTGGATTATGCTGCCCAGTTCTGATCTCCGTATACAGAATGACTAAAATTGCACTGGAAAACGTAGGGCAAGAGAGGACAAAGGTGTGAATCCCATGTATCAGAGAATTCTTCCCTATGAAGGATAGACT